AATGGTATACCATGGTAATGTTATGTCGGTTAAAATTTAAATTTCAAAGAAAGATAGTAACTAATTATATTCATTTAAAATGATGTCCAGGTGATATGTATAAAAAAATATCAAATTTAAGGATTTCCATTATATCTCTTGAATTTTAAAAGTTCTGTAGCATTTTCTATTTAAATTAGTTTCAAACTTTAAATTAAAGTTAAATCATAAAATCTTCTAAGATTTTAAACTACTCACAGCTTTTATGTACATTTAATAGATTAAAAACCATGACCTGAAAACTTTTAAACTGTGTGCAATCAATGCTGTGACAGGGAGATAATACAGTGTTAAAAGCATTTCTTCTTGTATCAATATATCAATAAATACCATTTCTACAGATAATCACTCTGGTCATACACAATCAACTCTGGAATCTTTTATATGCCACATTATACCCCCATACAATACCCCCCAATCCCTAAACAACTAATGCTATAAACAACAGACTAAACAACCTCCCCCAATCACCCTCACAACCCCAACCCCCCACAACTCCCCCAACCCCCCCGATTCTCAATACCATTAGACCTGTTATGATTAAGCTACAGGCAAAATAATGTTATAAACAAATAATAATACCCATCCTTTAAAGTCACATGCAAACACCTTTTGAACTTACATCATTTGAAGTGTGTAAAACACATCACAGATTGATCTTCATATCAACGCCTTATTTAAAATCTGTTAAGCTGAAGTATGTTGGTTGATGTAAATATGACATTACAGATTAATATCCTTAAGGCATTCAAATTTTACAAATTTCATATACATCATATCTTTTCACATCTCCCACTAACTACATAATGTGGTTTAAATAGTAATCAGTTTGTTTGTGCATGCCTTCATCAGTGATAACCTTGGTACCTGTATGCTACCAGCCCCTGTTCACTTCATTTTTATTTAAAGTGTTTTTGTTCAAAAAAAAATTGTTTATGTAACTAAAAGAAAGCACTTGATGACAAATAATGGTCAATTAATAATAGCAATCAGTTGATAATTACTTGCTCTTTTTTGGGTTAAATTCTAAATGAAAACTAGTCATGACTGATTCAAATATTTATTCAGCAGACCAAACAGATATGATTGTTTTTTTGGGGTTTTTTCACCCTTCTTCATAAACATTATCTCTTTATATGAAGAAAACATTATTATATAAGCCATTGAAATTAAAGTTTCTGCATATTTCCACCCTAATTCAACACCCCCAACTTGAATATCATAGAACGCCCTCAGCTCCTAAGAGACCTCAAAATCTACAGCTAGTATATATACAAGTCCCACTTAAGTGTACTACAGTCTGAAATATAATCAATAATTCCAAGTTTTAAGCCCCACACAGAAGCCAGTCGGCTCCTGAACTCCACTCCCTATCGTCACAAGAGATTTATATATATGTTCTCCACCGAAAAGCTTCAAGTTTCACTATACCTTTGAAATATAGCCAATTTAGTGCTGTACATTGTAGCTCCATGTTTAAAAGAACCTTTAGAAAAAATCACAAATAAATTACAGTCGACATTATGTGTAATACTGGTTTAGCTTTAATGCCGTAACTTAATTTAGGTGGTTTGTTCCCTTTACTTGTCAGCTTAAGGAGTATAAGTTTTTAAATATACACTACAAAATAAGCAAATTTCTTTTTCTAAAACTGAATTTTCTTAAAATATCAAAAAAGGAAATAATCTCTTCAATTATTCATAATACTAGATTTTCTTACATGAACTGGCTTTGTACATTTCAGGACACCGATTTTTTTAATCAGGATGACAAAGCTTTCACATTTTAGAACCTGACACAATACACAGATTGGCTGTGACTTAAAAACATCCAGTGTTGCTACAATTTTTCTTTCAGTTCAAGTCTTTTTCATGACAACATTCTGAAAAGTACTTGGTCAATAAGTGTATCCTTGAGTAGTGTAAACTTTAAGGGAATTAAACTATTAGCAAAACAAACAGACACCACAAGCATACCTACACTTGTTAATGTTTATGGTCGCGACCTCTTTGTATATTTATCATTTTTATTGTAAAGTGCTTTTAACAGCTATATTGACACAGTTGAACATTCATGTACTACTGTGAAAATATGAACTGAAATAAATGACTGTTCATTTGATTCATTCCTTTTCACATAGCATATCACTTCACCACCATATGAGTGTGACTTCACCTGGTAAAACATTTGTCAAATAAAACTTATAGTGGTTAAAACAATGAATGTTTAAGAAATTCATATAAAAAAAACTGTTTCAAGTATTCCCTAAGAAATTCAAAGGGAATGCTTAAAACAAAATGGTTATGTCTCCATATATAGCACAAACATTGAAACCACATATAACAACCACTTTACAATCAGAGATATAGAACCATCAGTCATTTTGGTAGATTTAAAATTTTAACTAAAATAAAAAGAAACCATTTTCTGTATTGTTGATATTGTCTAAAGCTTTCACACTAATAGCCAGCCTATACTTTAGCCCATTTCGTTAGCCCATATCATTTTCATACAAGTTATGTATTCATTACGTGTTGATAAGTAAACCCTACTCAGTTGTAAACTCTCAATTGTATATCAGCAATCAATGACGACTGCAAATTAAAGCTAGTGCTCACTTGACAAACAAAAACCGTTCCAGTTAAAGATCTAGAATATTACATTTTCTAATAAGAGTATGATCAATGACGATTTGTTGACTTTCTTTTTCAAAAACCATTGCATACTAAACTAACACCTAGTACTGATTGAAGTAATGAAAAATTTTCTCTATAGCCACGTCAATAAGAAGTAGATAGCATTTTCTCAGTGTGACATACTCCTGCTCCAAGAAGGAAATTCCTGTTTCATTTAACCTGTTTACTAAAACAACACTGGTTACAAAAGAAAATAAAACACTTTCTTGATCTCTTCAAATAATTATTTTTTGTCTCTATTTCCTTAAGCCTGTGAAACTACTGGACAATATGACAAAATATTGTGGAGATTGAACCCTGAGACATAATAGATATTTGTTACAACATGAAATCTGTCATATCAAGGCTATCTGAGAAATAACTAGGCCACCAGCATTAGAGAAAATTGATAAATGATTACGTATGTCATGAATATCAAAATCATTATTTCCATTCCCTGACCTGCAGCAACATAGTTTCTTATTCATCTACACTTTCTGTTTCAATTAGTTTGCAAAATAGAATATTTTGAATAAATTAATATACTTCAGAAAACTTTTTTTGGTCTAATGACAAATGTCCTGTATTAAAAACCTACAAGCTCAGCTATAGAATGATTTATGACCTTACAAATACGAAATCCATTAATATTGATAAATATCAGCGTCAACTAGGTGCATATTTCTGTAAGTAAACATTAAGATAAACAGAAAATGGCTTATCTACAAAGTTCTATCTTCGAAATACTTTATATCAATAACTGAGTATGACAATATCAGACTCTGAGTAACAAAATCGAATTTGTTTAATAACTGTGCGAGACTTGTTCATATAACACAGCTTAACAGTTTATTGAAAATCTTTGAGCGCTATTTAAACACCAATTCAAGTCCACTGTCAACATTGTTGATTATAATCCTCTTACAAGATGGAATTATACACTACACTGCCATATATCAACGCCCATTTGATATACAGGTCAGCTTTAATCCCTTTCTTAAAAGGTGTGAATTTGCAATAACTTTTTATTCAATTCTTGTACATTATAGTATTAGATTTTTTCAATATCCCCAATCCATTCTGCTACAAAGTCCTCTAGATTTCCATCTAAAACTGAAAACTTTTGAAAATATGACGGGCATTTTTAAATCCTATCAAAAGCTTGCTGAACTTATGATTTCAAAGCACAATTCAAGCTAACAATGCTAAATTAAGTACAAGCTTCTGTGAAATCCGTAATTCCTCAACAGTTCAATATCAACTACTGCTTTTCAAGTACATTCTGTCTAATGTATCAAATTCTGTTTGTAAAATGTGCCCTCCTAAGAACCCTAGATATAAGAAAAGCTAACAATTTGTTTTTCAAAAGGCCACTTCTTTTCATCCATATAATATATATATATTTACTGTTCTTTTTTAAAAGAGCTTCTCTTCAAGTTAACGAGTAAAAAATGCACCTAAAACATGAAAAAATAGTTTTATCCTGCCTCTTCAAAGAGGAACAGTGTGTTTTTAGTAATGTTTCCTAGAATTTAATTTTCAAAATAAACTTTTCTAAATCTAATTGATTTTAATTTTAACGATTCCAATGGTATCAGATTGAACGAATATCACACAGGTTTTTATGCTTATAGGGTGGTACCAATATGACTTGCTTACATTCTAAATTCTACAAGTTGATATGTAGCAAGTTGCAAAATGAACAATCTTCTCATCATAATTTGTGAAAATATATATCACAATTGATAGGCTGTAAATTTTTCTTTTCATATTCTTTGTTTTTGACATTTGTGGTTCTATAGATATATTTTGTGAATTACATCATATCTATAATGTGCAGGGGTTGTTTAGTTTGAAGACTTCAATAAATTCACTACAGATAAGGGACTAACTCCCTAATTTTGAAGCAGTTTTTATCAAAAGTGGTGATCAAGTCATTTCAAGATGTTATTTTACAGATATATTCATAATTCATATTAAAAAAGTTTTTGAGCTTTTATAGCAGACTTGAAATTGGATACCAAAAGTATTTTATGAAATGTATATGTATTCACAAAAAATAAAGAAACACTTTAACAACTGAAAATTAAAGCTTCTATCACTTCTAGTAATAAAGAATCTATTCACTGCTTTAAATCTGAAACCTCCCTACTTTAATTTTGTTTAATATGACAAGTTATATAACCAATGAATAAATTTCACTGATCAATTACCATGGGTTGATATTATGTTCCAATAAATATTTCATGTTGTATGCTGTTTTTCTGTCTTTATGAGAATACATACCCTATCTGGCTGACGAGCATCCACGACCACTCCCATAAGTGCCGTGTATGGAGCATCATTGACGGACCTGAAAATCAATTAAGAAATTGAGTTAATTACCAACGTATTGTCTAATTAGAATGTTCAAACAAAACAAACAAGTCTAGTTACAATGTATTGCTGTGTTAGAGTTAAAGCAATGCAGGCTACTTGTTCTATTTTAAGGTTAAGCAATATACCACCAAGAACAGCGAGTTTGGGGATAATGAAGGGGTAAGGGACCGAGGTGGAGGAATTCTCAAATAAACAAACCAGGGTTTGATCCTGGGGCACTCAAACTTTCAAAATATAAGTGTTATGACAACATCTGGCATTTTGAGGCATGTTATTGGTGAATTCAACTCACATTTTGTCTTTATTTCCATCGGGATTAAACATTCAAATTCATTCTTCAAAAAGATTCACCATTCTACTGTATGCTGGTAAAAGCATCTATAATATCACTTTCATTCAGTGGTCCTCTACTTGATTCTCTATGAAATTCAGAATACAAAGTGTAAGAGACTATTTGATAAAAACAAGACGAAAGGCACAGAGAATCTAAGATTGGATTATAGTAAAGTGATTTAAAACAGTAAATGTACCCATTAACAGATTGATGAAACAAAGGAGGTTGGGCTTTAACAGAATATACACATGAAAGCGGATAGAGAAGAAAGTGGAAGAATTTACGAAAAGTAGGATATATTTTGCAATAGAGCATGTATTTTACAGCGAAGTGTGATAATACATGTACATTGTACATCCAAAGACAGTTACAAATCAGGAAAGCAGTAGTTGATTGTAATAGGAAGGAGTAATGAAAAACACCCTGCCAGCGCTAGGGTTCGAACTAGCGACCCTTCAGTCTCTGGCCAGACACTCCACTGCTCAACTTAAGGGAAATTCCCACTAGCCAAAGGCTAGTAACGCAACCTGTACTCTCAACTTCTACAGGATTACTGAAATGGTTCTGTGTTTTCATATCCTATATGCATGATTAGAGAATAGAACGTAAAAAAAGAGTAGAACAGAAGATGTCTGTGATTGGTTGGTGGGGGCCAAAATGAACAGAAACACCCACATACAGTGTTCACCACAGCTGAGAAAACTATGTGTGTTTGTGTTGGAGTGGGGAGTTTAGAGGAAATGAATTTGATTTTGGTGCATTATTACAGAAAAACCTATTAAACAGCATTGTAAATGTGCAAGTATATTATGATAAGAAAATATTAATATCCACCATTGTTTTAATATGAACAGGTACAGACACCAGCATCTAATCAAATCACTATGACTTAGTTCACGGTCATCAACTTCTGATCAAGATATGGCTATCAAAAATCAATGTCTCTACCTGACAGAAGTGGCAAACTAAAAGCACATAAAATTAGTTTCATAGAATTATTGATACAACCATAAACACTTCATAATGTTAAAGAGTTAAAAATTGTTTAGTGTGAAATGGTAGTGATATTGACTTATATGAATAGAAATTGTAAAATCGTCTTCAATTCGATTGATCTTCTGTGTAGTTGATCTTATCGAGAATCACTTATCATATGTCGTCTGCATTTTTCGTTCGGTAGTTACTGCTAAGTAAAGCATGACACAAGTCAATACAAATATGCACCATATGGTTTTCTTACTTGCAGTACGAGATTGCAGCCTTAGGTGCAGCAGGTGGAATATTAGGGAAGTATGAAGTCGATAAACGACTCTTCAAGGGATGCGATCCCATCGTCGATACATCCGCCATGCTTGATCTCCCGGATTGGACCCGATCACACTGTTCGAATATCCTTCCGCTAAAATAGGACGCTAAGTAAACAATCGTTAATTCAGTTTTTATTTGTAATACTTCTATATTTTTGTACAAGTATTATCAAAAATATACGTATCAATGCTTAGAAGTTAAGAAGTATTTATAGCCAGTGTGTATTTGCTTAATATTCCGCCGAGGCAACGTAACTATGGACGCAATTTAAAGTCCGCGAATTAATTCGCGTAATCTACTTCCGGAGTAAACATTGCCACGTGCTTTTGAAACCCACCAAGAAATCGTGAGGTCTCGACATAGACAACGCGTTTCAGTGCATCCAATTCAAAAGATGTTCACTAGTGCGTGATATCCTGACATGGGTTATAATATCTGAAATAAGGAAAAAAGAAATTGGCATTTATGAATGATAAACAGTGCGTCACATTTATTATGCTTAGTCAGGGACGTACATGTACAATAATCATGTAGTATTTGAGTATAGTTATGCCCTGGTTTAGGGGAGTCTGCTTTGTATTTCAAAATATCGATGATTTTTATTTGAAAAGAAAAGAATGAAAAACGTCCATTGGCAAAATTTGTTTGTCTATTATCTTTCTTGCTAAATTAATAAATCGGAAAATGAAATAATGAAATATAAAACAAATACACATACTGAAACAAGCAAACAGTGATGATTCGTATATTTTTTTTAAAACTTTATTGACAACGGGCGTAAACGATTTTTTGCTTAAAAAGTGGATTGGATACTTTTCAAAATGAGATCGTGATAAGTTGGTTACGTCTGGCAGAAGGCTAGAATATTTTGAAGCGAAAATTGAAACAACGAAATAAATCAAAATAATCATGTTTAGTTCACGTATACATGTATATGTCAAATCAAAGTATATCATTTTCTGTCCGTCCAATTTACGAAAGGAAATATCAGACGAAAAATATTCAGCGTCTCGTCACCTGTTAATGATACAGATATTTCAAACTGGGTAAATATAATTCCTCTCCACACCGTGGTCCATCATACGGTGCCTTATAAAGTCGAATTGGCAAAAGAAAAAAAATATTAGGTATATCAATGTATTTGTACTTATGCCTCAATTAAAGATTCAATTCACATCTTCCATACTCATCAATTTTCATACTAGCTCAGTACAACATCATTGTGGAAGTGAGGATATCCTAAAAACCATGATAAACCAGATGAAACAGGACTCAGATTGACATTGTTTTATGCTGTTGTATCAAACATTTAAAATATAACATTTTTATGTTACCAAATGAGAGAGTTACACTTCCCGGTCACCATTCTGGGATTTTGTGACGTCATCCCTTTCCTTGTGACATCACAATAATGACTTGCGACGACGACGACGACGACGATGATGATGATGATGATGATGATGATGATGATGATGATGATGATGATGATGATGACGACGACGACGATGACGACGACGATGATGATGACGACGATGATGATGATGATGATGATGATGATGATGATGATGATGATGATGATGATGATGATGATGATGATGACGACGACGATGATGATGATGACGATGATGATGATGATGATGATGATGATGATGATGATGATGATGATGATGATGATGATGATGATGATTAATTTTCTTTTATTACATGGTTGCCTTGTTATTTAGTGAATTTTGTATATCCGCCTACTGTGATCTCAGGTTTGGACACTGTAAAGACATCACATGCTCAGAGATTGCATTGTGACGTAACAACACAGATGTAGAGCAGAAATTATGTCGAGTTTGAGGTGAAAATGTCAGCTTAATCGATCTGGTAAAATAAGATCCGTTTTTATATGCGATGTATGAAATTATTCGTCTTTTTCCATGTTAGCTGGACTTATTGCAAAAAAAAAAGTGGTCTTCATAAATCACACATTAATAGGACAATTATCCTATAATGTCTTTTTCACTGTTATAAAATGATGTAAAGGATTAATGGACGTTAATGTGTGTATTTTATATTTAAATAGAAAATTTTCAATAATCATTTTATTTTTGTAGGATCAATTTTATTATTAAGTTGTCCTAATACAAGGAAATAAAACAACTCGAGAAAAAGAAAATAAAGATGCAGGCAGGAGCATCTATTTGGAATAGTGTACTGCAGAGGAGATACAAAACTTCTGATTCTACAAAAATCGGTATTACCCGCGTTTCCATACATTGGGGATCAAACAAACATACAGTATTTTTTTTGATTTTTTTTGAAGTGGTTTAGAAGTTTTCTTGTCTTGAAACAGTACCCGAGATACATGTTTCATAGTAGACGTTTTACAAAATAGCACTGAGAAACAATACGTCCGTGTAGGACATATGACAGAGTTCTGTCCCTTGTATATGAACCCCAATAGTTTCTACCAAAATACGAGTTGCTTCCCTTCTCTATTAAATGCATTGACTGGGCTTACCAGGTACAAAGGACGTAGTTACCCTTAGTTTACGTCTTTGTGACGTAAGTTAAGATGTATACCTGTATAAAGTTGATGAACTTTGTATTTTTTTTAATTTATGACCAATCATATCCTCGGGTAATGGCTGAAATGGGACAAATTCTTGAAGATTTATATCATTTATATCATATTGATTTGTATTATAGATTTTTAAACATTATGTATCACTGACTTAGATACAAATGTACATTTCCATGGTTATGTCACGAACTTCAGTATAGTTAATTCAAGTCCGTGGTCATATGTACCAAATCAAGTCATGTGTGCTGACACAAACACATCGAAGCAGACAGCATTTCAGATTAAGATGGAGATTGATTAAACCTAATCAGATTGATGAAATACGCCACTCAGTGATCGTGAATTTCCGCCAGCACCCTCTAGGTTCCTTTATCTATAGCTGGTAATAATAGCAGTCAGATACTGATGCTCGCTTACATTTAGTGCTGCTGTACTGTCTAACCGTTTATGCTAACAAACTGTTTAGAAATGTTATTAAAATATCACTCTATAATATTTACACAGTGGGATGTAGACAGATAAGGTTTGACTGGAAAATTGAGCTTCTACCGATCTGTGCAAAAAGATGAGAGCGCGGTCGGCAGGAACTTTTCAATCGCGTGGGCGGTAACAAGATATGTTTACTATTTTCAATCACTGAATGGGAGCCTGTGATAGAGCATGTTTAGTTGGTAGTTATTCTGCAGAAATGGCTCGTGCGTTAATTTCATTTGTTCTTTGTGTGCAAATTACTTCAATTAAACCTGTTTATTATGATTTCCGCTTCTCAAGCAGCTTATTTACAAATGCGCACTGTTTCGTCCGACATACAATGAGGGCCTTTATTACTGCCCAAAAACTATCAAAAGACCTTTTCCGCTCGACAGCAACATATAACAGCAATTTTTCTTACTCAGCTCGACGATAAACTGATTCGAGAGGATACAATGTACATATATCTACTATATCTTACATGTTACGCATATTCTCACATTCCTGTTTCCTGGTTCGACACTGAATAAATATATCATAACATCTTAGGAAAAAATAATGTTAATTCAAAAGGTTTTAGCTTAGGAAATACACGTGTACCAATGTATGTAACTACTTCGGAGACCATAATATATAAGATATTAAGATTTTTTTTTGTCTTTATATAAGATAAGAAAAGTACTCTGTAGTTTCCTTCATCATGCGTTTCTTTCTATTTTTATGTCATCCCTGTACATTTCATCTGTTAAAAAACCACTAAAACATATGATATAAGGCGATATGTATTATCATGTAAAACAAAATTACCGAGCATAATGTTACATCCTAGTGTGTGTGAACACTGTAAATGTGTAAGTCACCAAATGAGGACATCTTTATTGATTCCACTTTCAAAATAAAAAGCATAATTCTAAGGCGTTTGACGTCACTTCTGGTTACAATGAAGTACATCAACCTAGAGAAATGAACTCACTGACCCGTTGATATATATATATATATATTGTCAGCTTGACAAAAACGATGTTTCTCATTGCTTCTTTCAACTGCGTATTTTCAAGCTAACTCCATCAACTATGCTTTTCAAGCTTCTTCGCACGCACGCTATACCCGGAAGCAATTGGCAGGCAAATAATGTGGTTTCTTCAGAACATGAAAGCTGTTATTCTCGGCCTTTTTAGTTTCATGTCCAACATCCTCTAACTCCTACGCACATGCGTATAAAAGGTCATGTGTATGACGGTGTTCGTGAAGCCCAGTTCATCAACAGTAAAACTCCAACTGCACGGTGAATCACAAAATTTATTTATTTATTGTCAACATCGTCTATCCTTAATCCAGGGAAAACTTCGTGTAATTCAACATCTTAAACTTGTCGTTACGTCTAGCTCTAGGTGAAGGACACGAGTGAAGTTATTTAATATTGACCAGTCAAGGTAAACTGGAAGTTTGGAAATTCTCATTTTAAGATCGAAATATCATTGACTTTTAACAGGGGATTTAACAGTCTCCAACACTTCAAAGAATTTATGCTAGAGCACAATGTTGAATATTTTAAACCGTCACTTTTTATATAACCTTATATACCCTGCAGTCATTTGTACTATTATTCCTATGGTAACAAATACCTGGAATGAATAACCTGGGTCTATTTTAAATGTCAAACATAAAGTACAAATGTAAATATTGTTGCATCATCACGAATTGTTTCATATTTTTAAATTGAGACATATCCTGTTTGCCCGTCATCATATAACCATAGATGCTGATTTACGTCCTAAATATGTTCTCTGTCTCAATTGTGGGGGCTGCGGCAACTCAGACGGTACAGGGTACATAGTCTTATAAGAAGACCCTAGGTTGCCTGGTTCGACGCTTCCTATCCGCGGTGGATGGGTTGTGTTTTACTCAAGCAGATGAGAAACGGACAGGTCTGTACTGCCATGAATAGTGTCCATGGTCAAGACTTTTTATCCTAATTGCTTCGGGAGAATGCGACCGGCCTTCCGTATGTTTTTCATTAAGGTAGCCAAAGACACTGCAAATAAAACCCCGCCTCAAAATAACTCTGGTTGTTCACGGGACAACAAACCAAGCAAACAAACAATTTGTCTCCATTTCGGAATTTAGAGTTTTCCTTTCTGTCCACAAAGCTCTATTTCCTTTCATTCCAAAATGCCCTCTTTTATTGTGCTTTGTTTTCTTTATTAATGTCCCCTTAAACACCCATCCCTCTATGAACTTGGCATTGTCAGGGCTTTGAGTCCTAAACAAATGAATTCTTCCTAAGATGACACAGCAACAATTTCTTGGAAGGAAATATTGATCGTGAGATTAAGTACTATAGCTGAAAGGGCTTTGCAGGGAAAATTGTGTTTTGGCAAAATGTTATTTAGACAAAAAGTCAAAATGACAGCAAAACCGCAGTAGCGGGGAACCCCGAGCCTAGCTGTTAGTTGATCGGGTCTATGAAAGAACATGTTTCTCTCGAACGAAGTAGGTAACTGCACAAACATCTACACCGCAGGTACCTCAAACAGCTCATTTTTCGATTGGACGAATTCTGGTCATAAAGACATGCAAAGAGTGCTTCTTGAATTGTCAGAGAAAGCTGAGAAAAGGCAAGAAATATCTATTCAACCTCCCGGATTTGCGAATGTATATCGGACAATTTTTAAATAACAAGTATGAATTATTGTGTCCTATGTCCAGGTCCAGTTTGTTCCAACATGGGATAGAAAGGTAAAGAGTCGTTCAATCTCTCGAGTTTTATTGATATTTCTGGTACAAGGAATCAAAATATTACTTATAGAATATGTTAAAGATTTCCCGACTTTACCTTGTAAGTAACAAGGTACAATAGTATATAGGTACAATAGTATATAAAATACACACGAATACGTCCTGGATTAATTTCAACTTTTATTCGACCTTCGAAGTTTAAATTGAACAAATATTAATGTAACTTCGGAGTAAATCAAAAGTATTCATAGTTATTACTGTTTGACCAAAACGACACAGAGCTCTCTCAAACCGGCGACCTCCTTACTCTGCCACAAATCCGACACTCCATTCGTAAAGTTTTGTTGATTTCATATAAATCGTTCGATTCGTGTACGAAACAGAAGCAATGATATTCGTTTCACTGAAATTTTTCAACTTCCATTTCAGTATTTTTCTCTAAATAAAGAACGGTTTGAGAGATGAAAGTACTAGTACAACATACAGATCAAATAGGTAGCTTAAGAATATTCCAATCACATATCTCATGTCTCATTTAAACATACACTGTATACGAAATGGAAAATATATGTAACTCTGAAATTGTGCGTATCGATTTCGTATGAATAAGAAAAAGAGACAATATCATTTTAAATGTTCAATGTTTTAAAAAATTACATTTATATATACGGTAGTGCATTTCAAAGTAATTTCAACTTGATTACATCAACGTTTGAGTTAAATATGAAGCATGACGAAAAATTAATTTTTGTACAGATTTTTCTCATTTTTTGTCAAAGAATATAACATATTTTCTACAATATTGCTCAATATTTATATCCTGATTTTCTGTACCTTATCCAGTTTTTAGAATTGAATGTGTATTAATTGTTTGAATAAGATCTTCATAATTAACCAAATCTGTCACTCAAGCACGGAAATATTGAAATCCGTGATTTCACTGATAAAGAAAATATGTGTGCATAATTTTACAATTCAATACAAAATCTATATCTACAATTTTCTTAGCACAACAAATCAACATGTATACGAAAAATAAATAATGTATTATTTATACATCTACAAAATTACAAATTATTGATTCTCCCATACCCGGGAATCAATTCTTATCTTTATTCACACTAGCTAAACATCTTGGTATCACAGTTAGTTCTACGGGTAAACTATTTGTAAATATCACAACATCAAAAACATTGTCTTTTCTTGCCGAATTTTTGTTCACAATGAAAATGAGTGACCACAAATATTCGGACATATTTCAGAATATGTATAGGCGAGTGAGAAGATTGTTATATTCATTATGTGGCGATACAAGCAGTAACCAACACCAGTGATAAAAAGCACTCGATAATGACATTTTAATTAAAAACATTCCTTAGATACGTTCTGAGTGACCGAGTAAAATATAAGTTGTATAGCATTTTTTTGTTTTCTTCAAAAGCTTCATGTGAAATTCATTTTTATTTCTATTTTAAGACTCACAAAACCCGAGCGTTCCATTCCGATCTTCTCTATCAAGGTGAAAGTGTTTCGGAGATATTATTGTTGTTTTTATTGCGATATGATATAAAAATACACAATATTTATCGATAAAATAACGTCAATTTCCGTAAACATGCATGAGTAAAAAAGTGCATAAAACTTAAATCACGTGACTAAAGATATTTACATGTGGCCTGAAAGCTGAACTTCCGGCCATATTGCACCATCATTTTAAATACAATCACTTTTCAAAATGTCTTTTAATGTGACTTTCGTAAGTCTGGCGATGAAAACGTAACAATACCTTATTTTGTGTCATAACACTCTTAGAATCTTTTCAACTGTTCATCACTCAGAGCTGGCAATTGCTGCATTTCCGGTCTGCGTAATTGGACAACCATAGGTCAGTTTAAAACCCGTATAATACATTTTGGAATGCATCATTCGTAACCTTGGTGTTTCCATAGTTTAACCGTGCTGCACCTATTTCGTAAGTAGAAAAATGTCCCTTCGCTCCGCTTTCCCGATGTGATATAAACCAATTCCACACATCTCTTTGCTCATAGGCAGTATCGAGGCCATCTTAAATATTTCATTCGCTGTCCGTTGTGTCGCTTAAATACGACACTACAAACCTGACTGCCATTATACTTCAATGATTCACTTGAAGACTCAAACCCGCCTTAAAGTTGGCGACTCAAGGACAAAATCCACAAAATGGTTGATGTGGTTTTCACCTGGATGAACGGGTACTGGGGTGTACTTCAAATTCTCAGGTGAAGGTTAATACCGGACTCTGCAACAGTTGCACAGGGCTATGCAATATTGTAGTCGCTTGTATTTCTTCATGACCAAAGAATGAAAATGCCGGTGACGTTGACGTAACGAGCCGACATGGAGACGCTGGGGGCGAGTACTTCCTCTTGTTATTGCGCGTTTGAATTTCTTTCTCAAAGTCCAAAAGCTGTTGTAAGAAACTGATATTTGGTGAAATCACGCTCCGACGAGACTTCACAAATTCGAAAGCTTCGTCCAAGCTTAAACATTGACTCTGCATGATGTAAGCGAGACATATTGTAGCAGATCGACTGATTCCGGCCTGACAGTGCACGAGGGTCTTCCCGCCGTGACGCTTGACATCATCTGAAATATACAAACAAATGACACTGAATATTCAAACTATTTTGCTTTATTTGGAAAGTACAATAAGTTTTGTCAATTTTCTATATCATTCCTTGGGCTGTTCTATTAATATGCCATGTCTACAGTGGTTGACGAATATGGAGAGCTTAATTAAAACTCAATAAAAACAGTAACTAAAAGAAATTATTGATTTCTGTCATTTTATACTTTTCATGAAAAGACGTTTTATATAAATGATTAATTTAATATTCTTTCATCCTTCCATGCTCTATAGCCAAAAAATCGATAGAGATCCCGGTGTTTATATATATATATCGTCGTTTTTGCAATATCTTAAACATCAACAAAACACTCATGTTATAACTACTGAAGAATTACATCATCATTCTATCAATTAACTGCTGCGGAAATTGATTACCTCAGCATTTCCAAGATTTCTGATGTCAATTTAAAGAAGTTGTGCTGCATCGCGAATGTGTTGATTTGTCTACTTCGATAACGAGAAATCGCTGTTGATGCTACATACTGTAGCTGTAATATGATTAGACTAATGAACGTCACTCATCGGGAGATCAGATAATGAAAACTATGCACACTAATTATGTGATTCCTAGGAATCAGGCATTTGTTGGAGCGAGTTTTCAATTCATGTATTCTTCACGTATTTGCTTTGTGAAGAATAAAATAAAGGCAGCTTGTGTGTGATGCCACTTTAAAGTTGCCAATAATCTAATTCTCAGCCTATCCTTCGACAACATTTTCTACGTTCAGATTCCCTACAGTGATGGTGGTGTGTGTGTCTGTTGTCGGTTTCATCAGCAGTGTCTGCCGACGAGCGCGTGGGTGTTAGTTCCATCGATCCGGACTGGCTCCGGTGACACTATTATAATTTCTCACATAGCCAGCTAAGCTACCGTAACTAGTCTAAATAGCTTGCCCTGGCACTAGTTTTCTAATCATGTTGAAACAACAACGAGAAAAATGTTAAAGAAGGGACTCGACATAGTAGACATCGTAGTTTTATGATAAAACTACTGAGAATTGAGCTATACCACTCGTGTATAACTAGGATTCAATTTCACTTTTCTTCTTCGAAATAAGACGAAAATATCATTTTGCCATTTTTCCCTGTTGGGTATTATTTAGGTAAGCATTAAAGTTTGTGTTGACGTTGTTGTTTCCAAGGCATGTTTTTTAATCTTGTACCCTGTTACAACCGTTGCAATTTACTTACCGACTCGCTTAAAATTCGCAAAATATGTTGACGTGTATCTTGATTTTAAAATATGTGCATTTTCAATTTTACGTAGATAAATTCTTATCAATATGACAGCCTTGTAAAACTCGGTTTCTAAGAGAGATAACAATACCGCTCAGATGAACAGCTGTCTTATGTGTCACCACGTCTGAGTCACACTGAGAAATTTACTTTGACGACTTACCGGAAATCGTGAGCACTTCACGGCCCCGTTTCCGGTCAAAAATCATATACGGTATGTAAAATGGCGTGATTAATTGCTCATGAATTTCAGAACTTGTGTATCGATATCTAATATTTGTTTTCAATGTTTCAAAGATGAACGTTTGTTGTTATCGTCCAAAACAGTTTCCCTCCTAACCGTTCAACACAAAAAAAGGGAAGTTTACGTACCTATGAAAGAAATTGATTCCATGAACCAGGTAGACAAGTCAACCAATGGGTTGTCATCGACGGGGATATTTTTGTACCGGAAGTCGGTGTCAAAATGATTCTGACAATTGTTTGACACATTCAAGATGGCGGTGATACCGTGCGCAAGAAGAACATCCTTTCCTGCGGCGCTCAGGGCGTTGCCAATATATAGATGAGGCAGGAGTTCAACTGGTTCCGACTGAAAGGGGCAGAAATTTCAATAACTAATACATTCAATATTGTCTGGAATCATATTTACCAGGTCAAATTACACATTTAAAATTCATTTTGTATATATTTACAACAGCAAAATTTAAAACACGAACACGACAACAATAACCATTCAAATCATTATATTGATTATAAAATTGTGGAAAGTATTATCAAGTTTCATTTGTAAGTAAAAATGTTAACGTAAAAAAAAACTCGAGCGGGTGATATTTATGAAAGCATTAGTATACCAATCTGCTGCACTGCTTACATTAGTTGTACAAGCATACAATTCTAAATGTTACTACGTACCGGAACCGAGAGGCTCTGGAAGAGTGGAGAGTTGGAGGTGTCCGTTGATTCGACGTCCTCTTGACTTTGGTTGGTGCATAGTGACGGGAATTGTTGTTTAAAAGTGTTGTAACCACCTGAAAATACATAACACGTGACACACATTTAACGCATGGTAAATTACATCAATACATACTTAATTATACAAATGGGGGTAAATTGCCAATCCCATTTTATTTTTTAGTAGCTTTGTAAATGGTATGTATTTTGATCCACAAAAGAGCACCTCAATAAATATCTACACATTGAAGTATCAAAAACATAAACTTGATATTGTATCGCTTGTTTTCAAAACTATCGATTTTCTGTTTAACTGAAGTATTAAACGAAGTTTTTTGGTCTACGCGCGCTCGTAATAGTCCATTTAAAGAGATGAATGGGGTCTTAGGTTTCAGTTTCACATGAAACATTGATATATACTTAATGTTCATGTCATTTTTCATCTGCTATATCTCAATTTTTGTATACATTTGTTTTACAAATATAGCCACGTATGTAATACACTTTACCAACCCATGACTTTTTTACTTTCAGTTTTTTTCTTTTCCACCATGATTATCATAATCGATTAAAAACGCTGATAAAAATCGTAAACCATCAATGTTATCAGGAGTGTCGTTCATTTAATTGTATAAATAATGTATATACATAATTACAAGCACCTGGACGGGCTCTGTGGGTGTAGGTAATTCACACACATGAACACGTGCGGTATATATATATAGGAATGACAGTTCACCATTTATTACTCATTAGCGTGGTAAGTGATAAGTGGTTCACAGTGTCTAACACACAAAACCAACTGACGTCTTTCTAATAAAGCAAAGCTTGTTATATAAATTATATCTAAATGTGTCACTTTAAGTTACTCAGTAACATTAAGTATACGTATACACAACATGACGGAATGGTGTTGAAAGTCCGACAGAACTGACATATATACATGTATATGATTTTATTACACATGCACGGATGTTCTGAATTTGCATAAAATGAGATGACAGCATAAGGATATCCATTATCATAAACATATATGGCGTTGTGGTTATTATCACACGTAAAGATGTTTCTCTGCGGTTTAAATGAATGCAGTAGTTTGGTTTTAAGGTGTAGAGAATAAGACTAGGGCGACCAGAAAGATAAGACATTAAGAACGTCAACGAATATTCACTTTAATAATATGTGAATTCGCCCTTGTAATGTTTCTTCATTGTCACTCGTGTTATATACCCTGGAGCGTTTTTCATTGGCTACTCCAATCAGTAATCGATGGCGATGTCAAAATAAGCTGCCCCTTCTGATTTTCTGCTCTACATTTTGAATTTTAAATGTAACTGAGCTATGTCAATTTCATGTGAAGTTTTGTGAAAGTCGTCCCAAGGCTCGCAAAAATAAAAACGTTTTAGACTCGAGTAAGAAATTACCATATACTGACAACTGATTTGTTCATCGGAAATGGCAACAAAATACAATTATATTTCATATCACTAACAGATCAGTTTATGGGTGTTTTTGATCATTCTTTTGTCAAATCATGTTTATTTTTCTTTAAATATGCGTAAGATTAGACTGAAATAAAATATCTGTATCCATCAAGAAGCGGTGGTCTGACAATGAACTTTTTACATATAAACGCTCGTGACAATGGGTGTGAGAGCTTTATGCCTCCCACTCAAAATGTACAGGTTTCTTATCAATCAGATAAAGTCGCCCGCACCTGATTGCTAATTACCTGAATGACGACATATATGTATGTGCAGTGTGTAACAAGTATATATGGGTAGATTTCACACCGGTCGGCAATTAACACCACGTCATGCCCCATTAGAAACTAATGAATGGTCAGTCATTTATCAGACAATCGACAGCAACGTGTACAATGAAAATACAAAAACTACGTCAACATTCCAGCATAGCGGACAGTCTTATTTACATTGTTTGTTTACTCTGTTTATCTGGAATTTGTAAAATTGTTGACCAACGGTAATTGAATTTTCTATTACGAGATTATGAATCACCTGCTGGTCACTATCCGTTGAAGTGGCCAAATACCGGATCTGTGTAATGTCCAGTTTGTTGACTCAGCAGTCTCGCATGGATAATAGTGAAGTAAATCACAGTAGTACACTTAAGACATTCGAATGTTAAGGTATACCATGGTAAGATTTCTCTAAAGGTGTAGGTTTAATATCACGACATTGTGGTCAGCCTCCCGCCTCCATGGTGTTACTGATGAAATCTCGACTACGAGGATTGGTTAATGTATATCAGTATCACACATCTTGGGATTGACTATGTATTTGTTAACCTCTTTTAAACTGTAATTCTACACTCAAGAATAACTAAAACAATATTTATACAATTCGGTAAATCTTACCGTTCCCGATCCTTACTTCCGGAATATTGTGCATACAAGTTTCCATATTATCTATAACCCAACTGAATCGATCCTTTTGTTGTATTACTTAGTGGCATGGCTTAAGGGATATAATCGGTCATCGATCTTTGATCGATTAAAATCGGATATTGATCGTTTCCGGCGTGCTCGGACTAGTAGGTTCCGCTTTGTTCAATAGAGGAGGTGTTACAGTGTATCTATTCTGCTTCAGGCTTGGTCCTTAGGGTTTTTAATTACTGGGTACATTTAATAGACCGTTCCTGTACACCTGGGATATTAGTTTCCATGACAACTTATGAAACGCGACCAAATCCGAAGACTTAATATAGATTCAATCAATTGCTGGTTAACTTACTGAAGAACATATAAGCGCACAGGTCGTTTCAATGTAGATTGTATAACACGATTGGTAAAAAAAAACATTTCACCAGTTATGTTGATCTATGTTCAAATAGATGTGTAACGATCACTGTAACATCAGACGAAATTGTTTCGAAACTTGCCAGTTTGGGAATATAGGTGACGGGAAATCGAAACCAATTTGGTAGGTCAAAGTATCGATAAGATAAGATCGTTAACTTATGAGGAAGTGCAACGAATGAAATCGATAGCTTTTAAGTACACTTCACGCGACCTAGCCAGCGTCAGAAGCACACTTAAAAATACCGACGCGTTCGATCCTATCTCTATCATCTATAATGTATGTACGGGTGCATTCGTATATAATCTGACAGCTTATATATTGACAGGATGCCGATATTACTTGAGGTCTAAGTATATCTTCTTGAACGAACCGAACTCTCTATTGCCGACAGACGACCATACATAACTGCTTTTGTAGAGTACAGATCGAACAGTATAATTACTCAAATGTGACCGATACAAACGAATGGCTGCGAACTTTTTTTGTACTATATCTCTAAACTTAATCAAAATCAATTTTAAACTTTTGATCTATCTTCAAAAGCATCTTTTTCATTGGGACCGGAAACAGATGATTTTTTACTGCTCTAAAGTAATATCAATTAGTTTTAATGCTTTATTTCATCCACGTTGATAAGCAATAAAGTAAACCAGTCCCTGGCGTTATACTCTGCCTCGGGTTATCAACTTTCTCAAGTGCTCTGGAGTTCAATGTTCCAAAGGTATTTGTCATGCACAAAATGCTTCCTTTATTTTCCTGAGAACGCCCGAGAGGGCAACGCCTTCGTTAATTCTTAAAGATTATTTTATAACAAATATAATAGAGGCACTGTTTACTCAGTTAACAGTGCTGGTTTTGTTACAATTCAGCATAAAACGAAAGTTCAAAGTCACTGACCGACAAGACCGTGTCAGTGTTATACATATTTCACATCTGACAAAAGATATAGAATGTTCACAGACCAATGACCTCGGTTATAATGCAATGAAGTCCGAAGTACACTGTTTCCCATATCAATATATAAAATAATGGAATTAAATATTTATATAATACTACAGAGGACCCACATCGATCACATCACTTTCAACTTAACTAATATGAGCGAGTTTTTAAACAAATTTTGTTACAAGTTTCAATCATTTGAAATTGTTTCCACATATGTATCGAAATGCTGATTCTACGTATCGAGTCGTGTACAACAGGAAAGATTATCTTCAAGTATTTACAAAAACTGCACAGTTCCGTGTCAGTGTGACGTACCGCATTCCTGGTAAATCATAAAATTGTATTTGTGTACTTTGCACTCTAATGTATCTTAAAACTTCCTACCCGCGTAATACAATAATCGTCAAATTGTCACGAGGATAGAACTTACGGCGATATCACCGCGATATAAGTTGTCAAATGACCGCTATTTAGTTTTGTTAACACGAAACAAACGTCCGGGCGTCCTGGTGACAACGCCCTTCTATTGTTTTCAGACTACTAAAACACGACATGATACACCGTTTGCGCAACTGTAACGAGAATAAAGATACACAACCAGGGTGTACCCTTTTTATATCTTCATTGAAGTGATGTTATGAAGAATAATCACGGGTTTTCGTCCATCGTGTAAAAATAAGCAGTTTGAAGCTGTATTATATAAAATTAGCATTTTGATCATTTATGGTTTTCATTTTACATTTTGTTTTTCTTTTGATCTTCAAAATATAAATATTTTAGTATCGTCTATGCTAAAAGCCATTTAATATGGTAAAAGCCATTTAATTATAAAACAAACAAATCAATTCACATAAAGTTTCAATTCACTACACTGCAAGTGATCAAATGAACGAAACGAACTCATGAATGCCGCTTAGTGTGCGTTCATGTACCAATAAATACATTAGATATATCTCTACACAGATGTAACGCGGACCACCTCCAGTGCTAAGCACTGCCGCTTAGAATTTCCTGCAAACCGAACCACAGGATTCCGATGTACGCTGAGATAAGCCCAGTCATTATCCACTAAGACATAGAGTCCTTGGCTTGAGTTGTAATTAGTGCCGAAATTTAACACCCATATTGAACCTTGCACAAACTCATGAGATGCATTTCCGTATACCGAGTAAATAAGACATAGAATCAACACCATCAGGAATACATTTTGTGATCAAATATCATTTATGTACTTAATGATATCCTTTCTTGGGTACTAGATATAAAATTTAATTAGGCCAATTAAGAATTAATTGATACACAATTATATGGACATAATTCATTTACACGTTCTGATGTTACCCTAAATGACTTTTTTTCAATCAATCCCCGCCTCGGTTTTCAGTGACTATCATTGTTTGATAACTCCACAGTTGATTGTCTACATCATCTCAAACCTATTCATATATGTTTTACAGATATTTTCAGCTACATAATAAGCTGATGAGTCGATTATATTGAAGCAGATCAACAAAAAAAGCCGATTTCAGGCAGATTTATTGACACGACATAACCGTATCAATATCACTCAATGAAAATACTTCGTTCCACGTTTCAAAACTAATTTCACACTCATAAAACGGTTTTAACAACACCGAATTCGCCATAACAAAGGACATATAAGTCATCATTGATTTGCAGCGACTAAAATAGTCTTTTTAAGTACAGGCTCTGAATATTTTCGGATACATAATTACAAATATGGATGTTCCGAGTTCGGATTCATTGTCGGGTTAATGGCTGATATTAAATGTCTAAAACATTGTATATCAATAAAATTATATAAATCTGCAACAGAGACACCATTTACACATAATAATACACTATTTCAATCGTAAGTTTCTCTTTCTCTCCCCCTCTCCCTTTCTCTCTCTCTCTCTCTTCTCCATTAGATTTTCTCTCTCTCTTTATCTCTCTTTATAGTTTTTTAATTATACGTGTATGAAAAAACTCACCTTTAAGGATTAAACATTTTGCATCTTTGGCGAGCTTGCATAAGGTGCGGTAGACAATGATGAGGTCGGATTTGTTGTCCATTCCCGAGCTGTTATTGTTTAGGGTATTTAACGTTGGGAGACACGGACCTTCCTGGTCATACACCACAATGGTAGAAAATTGTCCGGAGATCAATCTGTTTTTCGTTTCCACTCCCAACATGGATTCGAGATGCACCTGGCCTCCATTTGCGAATCTCCTCTTTAGAATTGGGGGACAGTACATATTACAAGCCCCGATGATGTGCTCTTCGTTGTACGCTATATAGGGACGACTGTCCACTATTAACACTTTACTGGCTGTCTTAGAATTTACCATCTCGTTTTCCATTACCTGTTTCAGTTGATAAATGTTCACTCTAAAAGCCATAGTATTGTGATACTTCACTCGTAGTAATGTAAGTGTGGATATCTTGCCGTCTGCTCGGTTAATACTGGAATGTAGCCGAGTTGTGGTCGTAGCCCATTCATAAAACTGCTTGTAAATCAAGCGCCTATATAAACAGCAGGAATGAAACTCTTCCGGCTGATAAATTATCATACGCCTAATTTGGGCAGGCGGTTTACTACCATACTACGCGATGTAATATAGGTCTACACACTGACAATGCTATTGGTTTAAATTATACATATACTGGCCGATCGTTGGTATCGCATGAAAAACTGGCACATATCCAACTCTGTGCTTACCTCAGTAATTCGAATTAATACGTAAGATTATTTCCAAGGTACGTTGATTTTATGAATGAAAATCCTCAAACCATTACGTCATCATATCATTTCCATCCGCGTTTCATAGCCACGCCTACCAAAACCTTATTTAGCGCCCACATTTCCTTTCAACGTAACTCAACCGGATGTAAACAAACCTCAGCCATGTGAATGAGCTAGATACAATTAGCAGACGACAGCCTCTGGCTTTTCCCGCCTGATCGGATTCGTTAGCAAATTTCGAGGCAATGTCATTATATAATTTTCTACTCGGATGAAAGGGACAGGTGCAATTTATCTTCTCCTTCGACAGAAAAATCGATGTCCGATGCGCGCGACGAACAAATTTGCAGTTAGGTAGGCGTTTGTGTAGTTAGAAATAGGTTTCATGAGGTAAATACATTTCAAATTGCATTAAGCGGTGCATAGTTCCTGTAATACCTAACAATTAATGCACCAATCAAAAAAATATTGTATTTACATTACATATGCTACTGATGATATCTGCATCATACAGAAAACTGCCACCGACCAATCTCCATATCATAAGCTTGAATCACGTAGGTCGTGTTAACGGTATCAAGGGAAGCGTTGCAGTTTATTTTCATATACATTACAAGTTGCATAAGCCCCTATACTGATTACCTTAACTGATGTCCGTGCTAATAACCTTAACTTGCCTCCGTGTAGATTACCTGAACTGACCTCTGTGCAAATCACATGTACTTTAACTGACCACTGTGTTAATTACCGTAACTGGCCTTCGTCCGAGTTATCTTAATTGACTTCATTGGTAATTATATACTTTTAACTGACCTATGTGTTAATGTCCAAAACTAGTCCTGCTACCTCAACTGACCTCTGTGCTAATTACCTTAAGTGACCCCTATGCTAATTACCTTAACCGACCCTGTGCTAATTACCGTAACTGACCTCTGCGCTAATTACCTTAACCGACCCTGTGCTAATTACCGTAACTGACCCCTGCGCTAATTACCTTAACTGACCTCTGTGTTCATTACCTTAACTGACCCCTGTGCTAATTACCTTAACTGACCCCTATGCTCATTACCTTAACTGACCCCTATGCTCATTACCTTAACTGACCCCTGTGCTAATTACCTTAACTGACCCCTGTGCTTATTACCTTAACTGACCCCTTTGCTAATTACCTTAACTGACCCTGTGCTGATTACATGCACCTTAACTTACTACAGCCCCAAGTAAATTGTCTTAATTTTCCCGTCCGCTGTTAATGATGTTTTATTCGAAACTAGTCCCGTTACCATTTAATTAATTGGTCCTTGTGCTACTAGCTTGTGTACGGATTACGTTCGCTAACCCCAGTGCTAATTACCTTAACCGGCTCCCGTTCTAATTACCTGAACTAACCCCCGTGCAAGTTGTCTCTTATAATTACCTTGACTGGCCACCAAGCAAATTCTTTTAAATGACCCTTGTGCTAATTCGATTGTTGATGTATCTGCTCATGTGTTGGTTATCTAATCATAAATCTTATCATAATATTACTGAACCCTGTTCTCTTGCACGCAGGATGGAATGATTAAGTGAGAACACATCCCTTAACATTATATGTATCTGTGTGCTTAAACAATAGTATTCATCAACTGTTACATGCATTTCAGTTTACAGCTAAATGTACATTCTAAATAGGAAATCTCAAAATCGCCAAGAGGTTGACCCGTATTTACCCCAATATCCCGTCCGATAAATAAACTCTGGTGCATTTTCTGATTAAAAGGTCTGTAAGAAAGGGCGTATCTCAAGTTATCTCAGTAAACAACGAAACAGTACGTGCAATGATACAGAGAAAGATAAGAAAGTTTCCTCACGTGCATCAACGCGATTTTACGGGCGGGTAATGCACACGTGGTGGTTATTAGCGCAATTATAACCGGAAATGATGTATCTGTATTTTGAGTATTCCTAATCACAAATAGATGTTCAAAACCAGGAAGTTGTAAGCTTTTGATGAGTTTTCCCCCCACAATGTTATTGACATGCTAAGGTCATTCCAAGGTCAAACACTCAACTGATATCTGTTAACTGTAGTATTGTGCTCCCTTCTTCCGCCCTGCTTCACACATTCCAGTCAGTTTTAATTAACATTCTCTCAAGTCTGTGCGATGATATATTTTCTACGTTTTGATACATGTAAGTTACTACATATATTAAAGAGAAGTTCAAAATGGTTCACGTTTGTACGAAATGTTGGTTAATTATTTCCCCAAGTTGGGTATCAATTTCCACTCTATTTTTCATTTATATGCAAGTTTGATGGCCTGTACACAACAGAACTAAAGATAAAAAAAAACAAATATTTTCCTCTCAGTGTAGCTCATTATCTTTTTGAAAAATTGAAAGGAAACAAAATAGTCACAGACATTATAGAAATGTGAATTTTAGCGAATCTTTTATATCAATATTCACTGAAATAACGAATCTTTGAAAAGCGTTTATCATTCGAATAAAGACTAATTTTTGTAAAGAACATTTTATTATTCTCTGAAACACCTTCTGATAAAAATGAAACAAAATATTGTACGTATAATTTGTGAAGTGCAGCGATATTCTCCCCAGTTTAACAGTTTTTCATGGGTTTAAACTTAAGTTTACTATATTGGATAAATAAGAAACAAGGTGTTTGAAGTTTGATATCTAGAGATGATATAACCAGATTATCAAAATCAGAATATTGTCAGAGGTGTTTGTATTTTTGGATAAAAGACTATAAGTTTATGTTGCATGTTGAAACAGAACTGGATAGCAGAACAACACAGACACAGTCAAGGTTCCCTGTTATCTATCATTTTATTAGCTATGTTTATATAAGTTATCGGTACATCCTGTCACACTTCGCCAACGCATGCAATTAATTCACTGCAGAGGAAGTAAGATTAACTCATACAATACATTGCGTATCGTTGGAGATAAAACTGGGATCTCCAGCGATACATTTCAGTTACTGGGATTTTGTCATTTGAAATATTAAAGCCTACCATCCAGGAAATGTTAATCTGCTTAGTATAATAGATTTTAAAATATATCTGTCTTACTGTATACATCTACATAAAGAGCACCGCTTGATTTAATGTGGCGGATGCCGTCAGTGATACAGAAAGCGTATGTCATTTTCAGCATGGTGTTCCTGTTCTAACACATACATAAAATGCATTACTCATAATTTACTCTCCTGATTTGGTTATTTCATCTGCCGAAACCAATGAGGAGGAAATTACATCATTCTACATAAACATCGTTATGTAGATGACGCTAAAATGGTTTTTCGTTTAATTCTTAAAATGTTTATATTATGAACGTCTTGATTTCATTTCCTTACACTAATGCATGTCAATTTTGTTTCATTGACACAAAACAAGAAACCAAACTATAAAAAATCTCACATAAAATAAACAAAAACTGGGTATTTGGTTAATTTAGATAAATCTTAATCGTTACTTAATTTTAATGGCATCATCCTACTAATGTTTTTATCTCTCTACAGTCTTTGCCCCGAAATACAGCAGCAACATCCTTTGTAACATTGAATGGTAGCCTATGAATGTATTGGAATGGGGAGGGGTATGTGAGGAAGAAGCAATAAAATCCCGCCCCTTTTCCCCGACCCCTATCACCAGACATGTAATCAAGAATGAAATTAGATGTAAGGTCGATTGCTGATGTTAAATGGCGTTACGGCGTATTACACCTCAGTTTACGCGATCTTCCACGTTTCATAATATCTTTACTCTTTGATACCATCTTTCAAGCAGTTGATACTGGTACCGGATCATAAAATCCTTTATTCCGTTTCACCCTCTTTCCTGTCATCCCAGTGTTCCGGATATACACGGGTCCAAGTAACATCCTGTGTCTAATTAGAACAAACCGGAAACGCCGCCACATTTCGCTAGCTCACCTGTCCATCAAAGCGAGGCCAAATAGCTAAGAACAACAGCTGGAGCTGAATTTCTAATAAAGACAGAATGAGTTTAAATGTGTTATTTGTAGAATTGTTTCCATTTCTTGGAGATATAGAAAAAAAAATCATATTTTCGGAACATTTTTTTTTTTTGTCTATTTTTCTTTGAATTGATACTAGATTGTACATACCAATTCATAAATTCAAACGAAAATTTAAAAAAAAAATGTAATCAAAATTGAATTTTAAAAGATTTTATATGGTATTTGGTTGTTGTCGTAGTTTTGCATTCAAGCTGTAAGCTTCATAACAGGAGACACTTTACAGTGCATGACAAATAAACTGAGTTCATCTTATGCACAACCATGTATATATCACACAGATTACTCACATCTTGCTTTGACTTGTTTCAAAAAAAGAACACTTCTGAATAAGATGTGATTGAGAATTAAAAAACTATAGAAGTCACAGAGATCAACAGACATATAATGTTTACGGTTTATGGACTTTCTGAAAGATATTTCTAAAAATACCCATGATTAATGAACACGTGAGTTCATATGCTGACAAGTCATCTATTTATAGCATCGCAGGTGTGGTCTAAAGAGGATCAGCGATACATGTATATCATTCTCAAAATAAAAGGTTTATTTATAGATACGCCTTAATTCGCATAGATCCGGTTGGTCAGATACAACGTAGATATATATTAGATACATTGTAGTAAATACATGCATATGTACAGGTGTGGATGGCTTGAATGTCGTGGGTTGATTTATCAACATGCGGTTGTATCAGATTTTGCAAATTAAGAACTTGTGCTATACCCAAA